TCGCAGCCAGCGATTTTCTCGATCCCCGTCATTCTCCGCCGAGGTGTGAATCTTTAGCATATTTTAACTGCTCGAAAGATTTCATGACACTGATCGTTGCTGCTTGAAAAAACCTCTTTTGAAAGCCAGCAAACAGTAAACTCGCGCGAGGAGAAATGTTTGCGTTGGGGAATGTAATATTCTCTTACTTACTTTCTTACTCTCTCACGAAAAAGATTGCAGCCTTCACATCTGGTCTGTTTTTACACGGACCTTGACCTTGCCCCACACTCACTTGTCAGAGATAGGGCGAAATGCTGAACTTGCCGCACTTATAAATTGCAAGACCCAAAATCATCAAGGAAACTCGCCCGTAGCGAGTGAGAACAGCTTTCAGAGGAAACGAATATCGATAGAACCCCTCAAGTTACCAGGGTCATGATCGTGAATAAGTCCTGAAGGACGTCAACTCCATTGAATCATCAGCTAATTGGAACAGTGCGCTGGGAAGATGTAAAGCAGTAAAAACTCAGAAAAAACTAGCAATTAAGCTTGTCGAACTGGTTTGTCTGTTGGGGTTATTATTCGCACAAGAAGGTAGTGGCAGAAGAATGAAGACTGGGAACCATTTGACGTATATGAATATATCACACCCTAATTTAGGAAGAAACAGATTCAAGTAGGTAGAAAAAGGCTAGCGCGAGAATTCCATCGGTGCCCATGAAGCGTCGTTCATCAGAAAAAATCTGTCCTTTCAATATCTGATATATTTGATATATTTTATATATTCAATGTTCCGGGCTCAATCGACGTTTCTGAAGAAACAGGGGAATCGTATGGACCTTCTCGACTACAATTACCGGGGCTTTTCTGTTGGTGCTGAGGCAACTAACAATTATACAAGACCGTGGTATGCCTACGCTTTGAATATTAGGAATATCAGCTTTTACTCAGAAAAATATCAAGAAACTTTGATCAATCCTTTTCGGGATGCGGCACGCATTCTACCTCCGCCTAGAATCGCAGTGCTTTACCTAAGGCGATATAGCATACACAGTGACTTGAGGGGGCCCAGACACTACTCTTATCTTCCTGAACGAATCTGGTACCAACGAACCGTCTTTAGTGGGAAGAAGGCTTGGTTAGCCTGGGCGGCAGCCGATCTAGGATTCGACCCCCAAATCACGCACCTGGTAAGCGGAACCTACACCGTCTCCGCCTCCCACTAAGATATAGTAATCAAATTCATATCATATTATCTGAGAAGCTTGCACACTGGTATTAATAGCCATCCTCTTCCAGAGCGACCTAATCCCGAAAGGCCCTGTGAAGCATGTACCCCTGTGAAGATTCCTTTTCTTTTCAGTGTCAACTAACTTCTTCAGAGCATTGTCTTGCTGTTCTCAGAAATTTTAAGCGCAAGGATTGAAGAACAAAGCACTCCACTTGTCTATTTAATTTTACTCTAGTGTCATCTGAATGTTCAACAACAGTGTGAAGTCCCAAGAGATCAATTCAAAAAATTAAAAAGCCCACAGTATCTACCGTTTTTTTTCAGAGCAACTGCATCCACGATATTTCCTATTATCTGACAATCCCCTCCGTCAGGCTTGAAATTGGAATATATTAATCTCACTTATACGTAGATTCGGGATTTCAATCCAGCATAGGCTCTCACCAACCAATCAAGCCATCGAAGTTTTCTGTCCTCGATGTACGGTAAAGTGGAGTTCGCCTAGGAGGATAAAAACCTGTACAACTGTACATTGGCCAGCCACCGGAGGTCCACACAGCATTCAATAACTTACTACGGTTCTGAGGGAATGTGATGCATTCCAAAAAGAGATTGATCAACGGCGAGGATTTCATCCTTTCACCCCTTTACTTACACGAACAAGCGCACCAGTCAAGACACTTGCCCTCTAACTTTGTGCCTTTCGGCTTTTTGAAATAAACTTGTGGATCTTCACAGTGTTGCTGAACATTCAGATGCTATGAGTCTCCAGGGCAGCACAATACTTAGACTATTACAATGCGCGAGTGATATATAGACAGCTCATCAATGATTGACAATTATCACAAACACGTTGGCGACATTCCCCGTGAGGAAATCCATTATATTTTGGGACCATTATAGTCATGTCTTGTCCAGCGCAAAATACGATGGCAGTTGTCTCTGGTAGAAACATTCCATAGAAATGCACAGTAAAGTACAGGATAACAGTCGAAGTAAAGTGTACGGCCACGTCCACTCCATCTGCAGGATAGGCAGTGTACTCATGAGGCTCCACGACTGCAGGATATTGCGGCATCTAAAGTTTTTGTTATGGTTTTTGTCACGATGTTGCTTGGAGAGGTGAGGCCATCAATATGTGAAGTGTACATACATCTAAAGTTCGGATCTCGTTCAGGTTCTGAAGTTTCCAAGGTTGGTAGGCAACGATGATGTAGGGGCGTTACGTTACTTCAATTATGTTCCACCCAGCAGTCGTGAACGGTGCAAAAACTATCCCAGAAAGAGTTTTTCTTTGTTTTCCGAGCACTACTTTCTTATTAGCAGGGAAGAGTTTGTTCAGCTTTAAATAGCACTTCTGTCGATCAAGGGCCTGAAAAAATGAATTAGTGAGCTTTCTCATTGCAACGAAAAAAAATCAGTGAGACGGTGTATTCAAGGAAAGTGAATAATTGATTTATCACAGAGTCCTCTGAAACCCCCGTTTCAGAACGATTTCAGGGAATCTCCTTGAACTTTTTGCAGTCAACCAATTATATAATCAAGTTGCAATTATCCCCAACAAAATCCCAAATCAGAAAGTCAGCTTTGCGCATTCACATCAGTGTAAGGCGTTCGAAATCGCGTTGTCGAACAGCGGAACTGCTCGAAAGCGCTCGTCGTAGCTGCCGCATTACGTTCGCGTTTTTCTGGTCGTTTCTCATCCAGTTTGTGGGCGGAGTCGAGCGTAGTCTTATAAGGCGAACGAACAACATGTTGGACATCGCTACAGCGCGCCTGATTCTATTGCCCTTGTTCGATCGCTGACTGAATCTGGTCGTCCGTTCTGCAGATAGTCTTTGGAAGCTGTAGTGACCCACATAACTTCGTGGCATTCCGTCATGGGGAAGTGATCACTCAGCAGGAGCAGAAGGTTCCACTAGTATGTGTACAAGTGAGACCAGCAAACCTCAGCGACCACCACCTCTGTCAGACCTCAGCATGCTGCTGTTGCTGCAGGGACTGTTTGTTATTTCGACCATATCGACATCTAAGAACAATCCAAGACTTTGATTTTTTCGGTCTGGATGTGCTGTTGGACATCTTTTGAGTTCCTTCTTGTGCCACTTTTCGTTTCCATCGTTTCGCTTGTTCATAGTACAGGAAAAGGATAAAGTCTTACAATCCCTTCTGTGGATGGGGTATGCATTTTACTTCCATTCAAAATCGCAGAGGCTTATCGAATGCGGTCTTCCGGGCCAACTTGTGTACAACTTATATTCTTATGCTCCCGGTTCAATCTGGTACCCAGTTTACCCCCCCCCCCCCCCC